TATGTGGGGCATCTAAAAGTCAATATATTTGGGCAGTAAGAGTGTGAAAAATATGAATTTTGAAAAAAATTATTGGAAACATATTACCTTTTGAATGATAACAACTCTCAATAATTCAAATGTATCCTCATATCAGTAAAATTCGCTGATTTTCCAAATGGAATTCAGTAGGGTATGTCCTAAATGTTCTAAACTCTTCATATCAACAGAAATAAAGGCTGTTGAATACACGACCTGGACCCTGTCCCAGGCAAATAAAAGAATGCCAAAAATAAATTACACAGTTAAAACAAACCGACGAGTGACTATGATATCTTATTGACCGTGTACATGGTTCATTACGGTAAAACATGGCCGCTTTATCGGGCGCTCCGTGTAAGTGAGACTTGTTTCTGGTGAGTGCATACATCTCGTTTTTACTCTTTAACCGTATTGTATGTTAACGGCAGGTCAATAAAAAGGGGTACTGCCATTTTGCGGGATTGTGCGGAATGAAAAGGGAACAATGTTCACAGATTTGTGTTGTAACTGTGGTGATTTCGGCCACATTCCTTGCACTCGCATCAACGTGGTCCGGGTAAACAAAACTCCCATTAAAAAACTACGACGTCTAGTTTGCCAAGCAGACACATAAAAATACTTTAACTTATGGACACAGCGCTGACTTCATTCTCCTTTATTTGGGATTTCCTACGATTCGGTGTAATGTACACATAAATCATTGACATGTGCTCAATATTCAGAATTATATTGGTGTTACGGGCGTAATGTGCTCAACCCTTACTTACGAATCAGCGTAACAAAAGTCATGAATGCCAGTGAATACGTCTTTGAATTCTATCGTAAATACAACCAAATACCATTCCAATCGGATTGGTATTTGTTGGCGATAGGTTTAGGAGACATGTAACAAGCACAACGTTTTAACAGAGGGAACCACACAGGGGCGCACTACAGTCAGCAGGTCTCCAGCCAGCGTTGAAAGCGTCCTTGTCCTTGCTCGCTCTCCAGATCCTTCCTTTTCACCAAAATATTCACAATGATAACGCCTGCGTTTGACCTGAGCCAGGATCCAGAGTACCTTATCCTCTCGGTCCGTGTCCCGTACACCAGAACGTCAGAGTTCGACCTCTACATTGATGGAGCGGATGTGAAATTTTATGCCAAACCCTACTTTCTGAGGTGAGTTGATCAGCCTCCTCCAACATATAAGAGCTGCTTTGGAGTGCAGAGGTTTAATGCAATTTCAATGTAATTGCAGAGGTGTAATGCAATTTCAATGTAATGAAAATGTCATTACCTTTAGGTTCAGTAGCAAAAGAAGAATTACAGGTCAACCATCTGTGTCATTTTTATTTTTAGGTTAACGCTTCCAGGAAGGGTAGTGGAAGATGGAAGAGAAAAAGCCACATTCGACATTGATAAAGGTATGTAATAACACAACGGGGAGGGGGTGGGGGTCGTTTTAGTATGTAATACTAGCCTGTTTTATTGACGACATGCGGTGTCAAAATAATCCTTCTGCTCAAAAATCTCCTGGAATGAATGTCGTCGTGTCGACTTGTAACAAGCAACTTTGATCTTTTTGTAACAATGAAACCTTAAGTCATATGCATTTGTTGTATGGACTGGCTTACTTTTTGACAATTCGCCTCATCTGTAAAGATAGATTCAGATTCACCGTGTTGATACCACAAATAAAAGTCTTGTCCATCTGCAGGACTTTTCACTGTGCACATCCCTAAAGAAACATCTGGAGTGCACTTTGAAGGCCTCCAGATGCTGACAAGTCTCCTCGCTCCCAGAGGGTCCCGCTCAGCAAAGCCTCTGTTAGAGGACATCAGCCCAGGTAAGTCACAACAGTGCGTCATCGGCGGTTGGCGCTCATTTGCACATGTTCGTGCATAGATAGCTGTGACTTATGTTGCCATCGGTGTTTGGATTTTGAAAAGATTGTCATGAAAGTGGGGCCAACGATGATGCGGAAGATGAGGAGGAGTTTGACTGGCAGGTGGAGCAGGAAGTGTACGTGGAGAGATCGGAGGAGGAGCTAAGTGCCCTGCAGAAATATGGCTTTGGCAATAAGAGGTCCGGAGTGTTTGGCAGATTACAGGTAAGACAGGCAAAGAACGCCGTCGCACGGATCAAAGCCGATTCCCGATTTCTGATATTAAGCTTTAATTCATAATGCCATTTAATTGTTGCTGTTGTTGTTTTTCTGACAGGAAGAACTCAGTGACGTGGTAGATGTCAAAAATCCAGACAGCACAACAACAACGGAGAGGAGACGAGCACGGCTGGAGGCAGAGGCAGAGGCCTTTTCCCCCGATCATTACCTGTAGGTTTAGCGCAAACCAAAATGGAAACGTCTCTTCTTTGCAGCATGTCGTGTCTTTCCGCTGACCTATTTGGTATCGTTGCAGAGCTGATTTGTTTGAAGATGATGAGATCAGGAGACTGCTGCAATTCAGATCTTGGTGGACAAAACTTGTTCCTTCACCTGAGCAGGAAGAAGAGCCTGGTATGTTTGTCTTGACCTGTTTATGCCAATGTACTGCAATTTTTAAAAATAGGACTTGTGCATTCCGTTTGATCCCAAATATGTCGCAAGTCAGGCCTCAGCTCGGTATGCCGTTTGCATTTTGGTTAGCAGCAAATTTGTTTTTGATGAGTTGTGTTGCGTATGAAGTGAGGAGTCTCTTATAATCTCTTGTGTAATGCCGTTGTCGTTTTTTTTCTAAGAACTGCACTTGAGAAATTACTGATGGTCAAACGTAGGACGTCAACAAATAGTGAAAAGAGATGAGCCCAAACATGAGGTACCGCATTTACTTCCGTAAACACTGCACCACCCGACGTCGTGTTTTGTCAGCATGCGTGTAGTTATTTATATTAAAATCCTGCAATACACATTGTTGTTTGGGGGGACTCCCCATACTAAAAACGTTATCCTGTATGTGAAAATATTATATTGCATATCAAATGACAACATGGAGTCCAAAATCATATTTGTCTCGTCTTTGCAAAACATATTAGTCTGACCTCGCACAGCCGAAAGCAAGTTGTCTCGATCTGAAGGCTTCCGGAAGGTGGCAGAAAGTAGCAGATGAATAAGAAGGCATGGCTGCGATGTTGTTGAAACTCTTTCAGCCCAGTTCATGACCTCCGACATCGTCCTTTTTTTTGTAGTACCCTCCAATGGATTTCACCGGTGGGGGTTTCTCTTCAACACAGAGCTAACATTGTTCCCATGCAATACATGAATGCCCAAAGGACACATCAGTCAGTCTTCTTACGGTCCACCTCAAGAGGCGGGTCAAGGCTCGGCTTGCCGGCTAGGAAGCTGCATTGCCTAAAATGCCCCAGGGCACCTCAGGAGCAATGGCACTTGCCTTTTACAAGAGCTCGAACTTGGACCTCACTCAGTCACTGGTTCACGGTGATGCCTTCTGGCATCGTTCAAGAAATGCTTCTGTGACAACCCGAAAAGGGATTACAGATTCTCAGTATCCTGCTTCCTTCCACAGTTCAAAGTGGCTTTTATTATCCCTTTGCCATCCATCGAGAAAGAAAATCAATTGCTCATGAGCTGAGACGGAGATGAGCTCTTTGATAGCTGGAGCGTCCCGACTTCGTTTCTTTTTCCACAGGCACGATGGCTGGCGAAGGCCTCCGCAAGCTATCCAGCTCCTCTCCACATCTGCTAATACAGGCACGATTTAAGGAGGCGCATGGCCCGCAGTTACAGCTTAAATGGAGTGCGCGGCCGCTAGCAGGCTCGAGCGAGGATTTAGATTAAACAGACAACATTCTCACTGGAGGCAGCGCTTTTAGTGGTGTCACAGGACCCTTCTCTCCGCACGCAGTCGTAACGATATTTCGAATGCGTTCACACTCGGGTGCGATCGCTCGTGGCGTCTGTTTGGTCAAGTGGGAGCGATATCGCGCGAAGCCCGGTACGCGCCAAACCTGGCCGTGGTTAAACATGTGATAGCAGCATGTGTTCCTTTCACTGCGGGAATGTGCCAGAGGTGTGCTTTTTGAAGTGCCAGTTTTTGTTTTGGCGAATGACAGGTGGAAGTGCACCGTCAAGCCAAAATGTGTAACAATAAACATCATTTTATGCATCTATGCCACTTATTTTTACCTCTGCACGAGGGCGAGTGTTGTCCGATATTGGTCAGTTGTCAATGTATGCATATCTTTCTTACGACTTTTGTATAAAGATAGCAATTCCCTTTTTTAGGTCCGCTTCAGCCCTCTTTTCAGTGCTATGCATGTCACCTGACAGATGGGTGCGGACCCGAGTATTAATGAAGTCGAAAGCGGAGCTTTTGTCTTCTCTGGTGTCAGGGCCATCACACTGACAGGGCCCAGCTGTCCACTGCAGGCCCGCGTTCATACGCCGTCGCCAACTAAATGGACCTGACAGCTTGGCCTTTCACGACCTACTGAAGCTTGTTATGGCTAGATTTAGATGTCACTGGCAAAACTGTGACCTTTGACCACATTTAGGGTAACCGCGGCACAATCTAATGTTAAGATTTCAAGTACGTACTCAACTCAGCTATATTTCTAGAGCCCTTGAAAACAACCACTGCCGTTTGCAAAGTGCTGTACATGGAGCAAAAACATATCATCCTATAAACAATAAAACAATCATAAATAACAAAGACAGTAGAAAGCACAAAAACAGTCAAACTCCAAATCAAGTCTCATGCTGAGTCGAATAGGATTTTCAAAAGAACTCTAAAATGAGCCAATGAAGGGATGTCAGAGTAGGAGTGATGTGCTCCCTCTTATGACTACCAGTCAAGCGGCGAGCGGCAGCATTCTGGACCAACTGGAGACGCTTCATGGAGGATTAGCTGACTTCAAACAGAAAAGTGCCTTACAGTCATCCAGCGGGGATGTAACGAAGGGATGAGTGACTGTTTCAAAGTGCTCCTGAGAAAGGAGAGGCCTGACTTCAGCCAGCTGCCAAAGATGAGCTCGATTTAACGGCACCAATTTGCCCCCTTTCTTGTATGAAATCACTGTCCAGTTTAAGACCCAAGTCCGAGACCGTTGGCTGAAGATAAGGAGCCTCCAAAGTATTTATGGCAACTCATATTTTCAAGAGATGCGGCGAAATGAAAATTCATGGCTGCAATGTGAAACCGAAAATGAGGAAACCAGTGTTTAGGAGGCTCTATTTTCAAATGCAAACAAAACATTTTGACCATTTCTACACGGCCTTTGCGTTCAAATAAGCAACATGTGGGCATTTGATGCCTATTTCCAAGTCACACCAAATGAGCGCTGCAGGCGAGGGGCTCAGGGGGCCAGGATGAGATGAGCTTGGGATGGACCACGCATGATCAAGTTTGCATCTGCAAAGTCATCACTCGTGTTGTTCATATTTCAGGACTCTCGATTGACTTTTTTTTCATGGTTGTTCCGGCACAAAAGTGAGGTGCGCCTGCTATCTGTCAAGTGGGGAGAATAATTAATTGATCCCTTGATGAAGTCGTAAGTCTACTCACTCACAAAGAAGAGTTTTCCATTTATTTTTGTGCCTGCGCCGTTTTCACGCCGAGAAGAACACTGTCGCCACAGTCTGGTTTAGCAGAATGCTCATTTTACTTTGACGGCTTTGTGACGACGACGACGTGGAAGACCTGCTGGCGATGTTTGACTTGACTCGCACCCCTCCCCTAAGTTAGTGCCGAAGGAAGAGTGCAAACAGATGTGGTCGCTCGCGAAGTAGTGTAGCTCTTTGTTGCCCGTGCCAGACGCGCTGAGGATGGAGTCAGGTAGCATCTGCGGGGAGCTCACGTAATGCGGCAGGAATCTCCGGAGCTCCCACTGCAGCCAGAGAGGAAGTGCAATGTGTGCATGTCATGCAGACGCACGGGGAATGCATTTTTTTTTTCGCTGTTCTTTGTTTTTGAGTCGATGACTGTATCATCTTACTCGTACACACAAACCTCCTTCAGTCGTGTAGATAAATCGGCCGTGCTACTTGGACAAATGCATTTCTAAATAACAACCTGTCATGTCGAGAAAAAAAAAAAATAAACGCTGAAGCTATTCTTCTTTCACGTTTGTATTATCTGCATGACAAAGAAGTAATGTGATTATATCTACTGCATACAGTGCCACATTAGGGATGACTGGTGCAGTTTCATAAAGCTGTTGTATCGATATTTTTTTTCCCTGGCAGGCTCGCAGTGGAAGGTTTCAAAGCAGGAGGGCATTTAGTTGGTCAGAGTAGCGCTGGAACTGTATAAACGGTAAATTGTGATTCATGAAATCTGTACGGACATCAACATCTGTTCACTGACATTATTTTTGGCAGAATTTTAAATCAGGCAGAGATATTAATGTTTCAGATTGTCGCCTCGACGCGGGCGTCTTACGTCTTTGGGAAAGAAGGGGCAAAAGCAGGAGCTGTGACAGTTTCTATTCCTCAACGTTTTTTGTTGTTGTTGTTTTTCCCCACTCTTTAAATTGCATAAAGACAATTCCCCAAAGCAGGCGTTGGTTTACCATTCTGTGCATATTTTATTTGATAGCGATTTTAATGCCGGCTCCGTATTTCGTCATGCAGTTATCCAGTTCAGCAGCGAGGAGAAAGAGCAATTGAGAAAATTCAACAACCAGTCGTACCTCCTCGACAAGACTTTGCGGCACCAGGTGTGGCTCAGCCTCGTGGACATTATCCTGGCTTACTGCTATGAAGTGCGCTCGACACAGGGAGAGCACAACGTAAGTGGCCGCGTTTTATGTGTGAAGAGGCAATTCCTGCCGAGAAGCACTTGTAGCCCTGGATGACAAAGTCAAATCTTTCAGACCCCTTTTCCATTTCATTCATGGCCTTAAGAGATTACTGAGCGCTCGGTCAAGACCTCTTTTGGTCCCCCCCTTTGAGATGAGTGCACAGAGGCAAGATGAGCAAAGCGTTTGCCTTTGTAGAAGACAAGTGGCGAGCTCAAAATAAGACTCAACTCCCAAAATATACGCATGAAAAAACGCTGAACCCAAACAGAGCCTGGTTGAACGTTTCAGCAACATCTACCAAAAGTTGAAGGCGTACGTGACAGCCAAAGATGTACAAAAAATGTCTCTGGAACTGTCTGGACTCAACAGGAAGTCAAATTTTGCCTCATCTCTGGCCTTTGGTCGAGGTTCATACTTGATCAAACTAGTTTTTATTCTGATGTCCATCCAATTTTTTCCCCCCGAAATTCCAATTCCAATGAGCCAGTGTCTGCAAGGGCCCTTTTGTAGCTGCATGCAGCTCTCTCATTTTTGTCTTATTTTATGATTATGTCGTGTCTATGATGCAGGTGGAGTCGCCGTGGACAATCAGAAAACTCAGTGGGACGCTGTGTTGGCTGGAGGTACGTTTTGCCCCAAGTTTTCATCCGCTGACCACAGTGAAAGGCAGTAGTAGCTCTTCCTTTGTGGCGGCACCAGAGTAAACAACAGCCTCCCACCGGCTCATCAGTCAGTCCGCATTCTCCTGTGCCAAGCGCCACCTCTGTGCTGTTCATGCACTTGGGTTCCTTCCTCTCCTACACCAGGCCACGTTCTTCCCTTTCTTTCCCTGGTCTTGAGATCATAAAAGGATGAGCCTATCTTTACCCCTTATCTTGCAGGCCTCCCTCCTCCCTCCCCGCGTGTACAGCGTGAAACTTGTCCTCAGTAGACTGCTGGTGTGACTGAGTTGGATGCCCGCAGCGGCAGAGCTTATTTACACTCGTGCAAAACAAGCCGGAGGGAGAGACTGATCTCTGATGACACTCGTGTCCCAGCTCACAGCGCACCCTTAATAGGCCTCAATGAAGGAGAAGAACACAAGAGATCAAATCTCCCGGCGCCGCTACCATTACCGGAGCGATCTGAGTGCGGATGCCGTGTTTAAGGACAAGCAGCAATTAAGAGGCGAGTGGAGCAGCGGTGGGAGTTTGAAGCGCCTATTTTGTCTGCTCAATAAATGGAGGGGATTGTTCAAAGTAATTAGCACGCCGCAGACTGCGATGAACACCAATAGGAGTCTTGTGTTAAAGTGAGAAAAGCCCCCGCTGCCAAGATGTCTGGCTTTACCCACGTGGACTGCCATCGCCGTCGGGAGGTGATTTAGTGCCGGGGTCTCTGTTGTGAGCGTCCTCTCCTCTGCCCCTCAGACATACAGCTCCTTGCAGGAGGTCCTGGTGTCATTCGGAAGAAGGGTTTTATGCTATCCGCTCTACCGACACTTCTCCATGGTGTCCGCTGCCGTTTCTGACACAGCTGCGGGCTTCGGCTCAGGGGAGTTCTTC